GGGGGGGTGCCTGGGAGGGGTTGTTGGAGCCGTGTCGGTGGGTGAGGGAGGAGCGCGCTTTGGGAGCCAACGAAGGGGTTGTTTCGGGCACTTCCTCACCGCAGGGATGGTCCCGGGGCCGGCAGGGGAATGTCCCATCCCTGGCAGTGTTGAAGGGCAGGTTGGATGGGGCTTGGAGCAACCTGGGCTGGTGGGAGGTGTCCCTGCCCATGCAGGGGGGTGGGACCGGATGATCTTTAAGGTCCCTTCCAACTCAAACTGTTCTATGATCCCCCTGAGAGCAGCACGTCCACTGTCAGCCTGGCTTGAGGCCTGGAAAGGAGCAAAGCACCAATAACAGTAACAACGTGAGGGGACTGGAGAAGCTGCTGGGTCTCACTTTTATTAGAAAGCTCCATCTGGCAACTGAGAGCTCCTTGGGCTCCTTGGTGCAGAGAAAGGGACTGACTTGTCTGGGTGCCTGTAGCTTTATCTGGGTTTGTTGACCCCACCAAATCTTCTTTTCTTTTTCAGCAATTAGAACTCATCACACCCTTCCAGCTGTATTTCAACCCTGAATTAATATTTAAGCACTTTCAAGTAAGTGTTTTCTGACCTGTGGGAGGTTTAAGAAGTCCCCTGTAGAGCCTGCAAGTGCCCATCCTCTCAGAGTGGAGTGTTGCAAAGTGGCTGTGACTTTGAGGATTGAAGTTATGTTTTAAAAAAGCCATGAAGCTGGAGTGCTGGTCACTGCCTCTCAGCAAAGTTCTCATAGTTGTTGACTGAGGGAGTTTTCAGTTCTGTTGTTACTTTTCTGCTTACACAACCATAACCTGCCATGTTTCAAGTCCTTCTCTTTGTCTCCTTTCCAGGTCTGGCGGTTAATCACAAACTACTTATTCTTTGGACCAGTTGGCTTTAATTTTTTATTTAACATGATCTTTTTGTATCCTTTGTCAAGTTTTGTTTCCTTCCCCCTGAGCCCCAGAAGTTCAGGCAGGTGGCTGGACAAGGTTCATGGGCAAAGCTTTAAGTTCTGCTCCACCATGGAGTTCCCAGGAGTTGAGCAGTGCCAACCTCACTGGTGCCAGGACTGGACATCAATGGGATTTCCTTCATGAGTTGTCAAGAATTTTGCCCTTTTTTCTTCTTGTTTTTCTTTTTTTTGGGGGGTGTTAAGACTCTGTTGGACAAGCCTGACCCTTCAGGTTTGGTTCTGACCTACAGGAGAAAATCCCAATTCGCTTTTTCCTCCTGGGCCACCTTCTCTTTTGAGAAACCCAGAAAGAGCCAACTCAGGAAGCAAACTGATACAAACCTGACCTCTAAGCTGATGTATAATCCGAGTCCTTTCTGCTGGGATCTCTCTTTAAACTCCTTTCCAGTCCCATTTTCCTGACCTGTGGCTCCAGGTACCGGTACTGCCGGATGCTCGAGGAGGGCTCCTTCCGAGGCAGGACAGCAGATTTTGTCTTTATGTTCCTTTTTGGAGGACTTCTCATGACTGTATCCTTTTGGCTTTAGTCCAAACTGCTTTAGTGAAGCTTAAAGATCCATCAGTTGAGGATTGAAATCGTGATCATAGGATGGGTTGGAAGGGACCTTGAAAGGGCAGGAGTTGGCTGGGAGCTGCTGCTGAGTTCCTTGCAGTTTGGATGTGACATGGCAGCCACCATTTGGCACTTCTGCCCACCTGCAAATGCTTCTTGGCCTGAAACTCACTCCTGGAAGGAGAATCTCAATCCATTTTGCAGGTCATATTTTGTTTGCTCTTAGGATTAGCCTAATACCCACCAAAGCTGAATTCATAGAATCACAGACTGGTTTGGGTTGGAAGGGACCTTACAGATCATCCATTCCCAACCCCCTGCATGGGCAGGGACACCTCCCACCAGCCCAGGTTGCTCCAAGCCCCATCCAACCTGCCCTTCAACACTGCCAGGGATGGGGCAGCCACAGCTTCCCTGGGCAACCTGGGCCAGGCTCTCACCACCCTCACAGGGAAGAATTTCCTCCTCATGTCCAACCTAAATCTCCCCTTTTCCAGCTTAAAACCATCACTCCACACCCTTGTACAAAGTTACCTTTTCCTTAATGTTACTTTTATCTTAACTTTTAGGTGATAATGTATTTAATCTGTAGTATGAGGAGTAACAGTTGTGTGCTGAAGGAGTTCTGAATACCTCAGTTCCTGGTACTTTTCTGGTCTTTCAGACTTTTCAGTGCTTGAGAGGATCATGGAAATGAGATTAGCAGATAAGAAGGGACTTCCCAAGTGTGTAATCACGCTCGGGTTGTCCAAGAGAAATGCTGCTCTTTGAGTGTTTTATTGCTAAATTGTGCTTTAGAGGGACCCTGGATCTTGCAGTAGGTGTTGAATTTGATCAGCAGAAGAATCATGGAATCATAGAATGGTTTGGGTTGGAAGGGATTTTAAAGATCCAACAGCAGGGACATCTCCCACCAGACCAGGCTGCACAAGCCCCATCCAACCTGCCCTTAAAGCACCTTTGATTTACTTGAACCTGGGAAAGCAGAGAGAGGAATTGGATGGAAAACGGGAGGATTGCAGGTCAACCTGTCACCTTCATGCTTGACTTCACCTCAAATACCTGGTGAACTGTCTTCTTTAACTGCCTCTCCCAGCTCTTTGGCCTGTTTGTGAACCTGGTGTTCCTGGGCCAGGCCTTCACCATCATGCTGGTTTATGTCTGGAGCCGCAGGAATCCCTATGTCAGGATGAACTTCTTTGGGCTCCTCATCTTCCAAGCCCCATTCCTACCCTGGGTATTGATGGGCTTTTCACTGCTTTTGGGAAACTCCATCATCGTGGATCTCCTGGGTGAGCCATTGCAAGAATCAACGTGTGCTGATATCCTACATGAAACACAAAATGGGGGAGAAACCCAAGGGATGAAGTGCCTTTTATTTGATATTAGTTTGTCTATGATATTGACACCAGGCTTTTCAGACTGCTCAACGTTGTAGCTTGGTTTGTGCTGGAACAAGGATGGAAAGAGCTTCTGATGTTTTGGCTTTATATTGCCTGTGATCAGCCCAGGTCCATAATCAGATTGTGTGCATCAGACTGTCGAAGTAAAATAGCTTATAGAAGTATTTTTATCCACCCTAATAAGGCCACAATATCAGTATTTTTAGCAATGACAGGCACTTTTCCTTCTATCAGTGTCTTGTAGACACTTGTAGATTAAGTTCAGCCTTTCTCCTGATGTCTTTGTGCTTCATTTGGTTTGATATTTCAATATCTCTTATTGTATTTTGTGTGAATGAATCAATGTGTGTTGTTTGGGTCTTTTTTTTCCTGAAAACTGTAGTGAAGCCTTTGAAAGTCATAAAGGAGAAGTCTTGAAAATCACCATTTTGCTGTATTTCCTAGGCATTGCTGTTGGGCATATATATTTTTTCTTGGAGGATGTCTTTCCCAACCAGCCTGGTGGTGGAAGGCTCCTGAGAACACCCTCTGTCCTGTGAGTATTGGTGTCTGATTTGGAACAAATGTCGTGGGGAAAAACTGTTGATAGTTCAGTCACCTCTGGTAAATTGGGCAGCTTGAGACAGAATGTGGTGTGTCTGTTCTTGCTCTTTTATTTCATTCATTGCCAAACCAGGGAGGACTTTGTCACAGATGTCTGAGTGGGACCTGGCTGCTTCAGGCAGGGAGCTGAAGGGCTTTGGTGACCTTTGCTTGCTTTGGTGACACTTGTTAGTCTTTGCCAAGTGAGTTGGTGGCACCAAAGATTCAGGTCTGAGTCCTGCTGTGTCTGTGCAGAGTGACTGCACATTATTTATTATAATATCTCTAATATATTTTTCATCTGTAAATCATCCTCTTTTCACAACTTTGGCAGAAGACTTGAGTGTTCATAGCACTGAGTTGGCCTGTCACTGTGAGGAGAAATAATCCCTTTAGCTCTTCTAACAACTGTCTTGTCAGACACACTTTACTTGTAAGACTGTTTCATGATCGCTTCTCTGCAGCTTGTGGTATTTTTGTTTGTTTCAAAGAATCTGCTGCATTTTTGTTTCTGGATAAACAAATGACAGAGAGAGAACCTCTAAAACTAGTTCTGAGAATGGCAGAATAACCTACAAGGTTGAGCATGGTTTTTGTAATCAGCTGGGAACCCAAGCCTCTGATATTCCAAATGCAGGCTCTTGTGTGGGTGCCAAGTCTGCCTGCCAGTTCTTTTATATCCTGTCAGGTTGGGGTGTCTTTTTGACTTTTTGTCCCTGTCTCAAAGTGTGAAGAGCTTTTCAATATCCCACTCATGTTTTGCTCCCTTACACTGTCTTGGGAGAACACCCCAACTGTGTGAAATCCTGTCTTACCCTGGGGGTGGGATCTTGACTTTCAGCTGAACCTTGTCAGTCTCAGTTGATTTAGGCACATAATTCTAGACCTTCCTCCAGGTGGCTCCTGATTGGAAAGCATGTGGCTTGGGTAGGATGGTTTGGGTTGGAAGGGATCTTAAAGATCATTCAGTTCCAACCCCCCTGCATGGGCAGGGACACCTCCCACCAGCCCAGGTTGCTCCAAGCCCCATCCAACCTGCCCTTCAACACTGCCAGGGATGGGGCAGCCACAGCTTCCCTGGGCAACCTGGGCCAGGGTCTCACCACCCTCACAGCAAAGATTTTCATCCTCATGTCCAACCTCAGCCTCCCCTTTTCCAGTTTTAATCCATCCTCCCTTGTCCTCTCCCTCCCTGCCCTTGTCCCAAGTCCCTCCCCAGCTTTCCTGGAGCCCCTTCAGGCACTGGAAGCTGCTCTCAGGTCTCCCTGGAGCCTTCTCTTCTCCAGGCTGAACACCCCAACTCTCCCAGCCTGTCTTCCCATTTCTGAAGGCAGGTGCAGATGCAGGATTTGAGCCCATCTTGCTCTTCTTGTAACACATAAATTCTAAAGGGGAAAAAAATAAATAATAATAAAACCTATGATCTATTTTCCAGGAAAGCAATATTTGACACACCAGATGAGGATCCAAATTACAATCCCTTGCCAGAAGAAAGACCAGGAGGGTTTGCCTGGGGAGAAGGTCAACGCCTTGGAGGCTAATGAGTGTCTGTGCCTAAATCCAGCAACCACTGGGAGAGACTGACCTGAATAAAGTTCCACAACTGGGGACTCTCTCATTCTCCATGGCAGAAAAGGACACTTTTTATTTTTTGGATGGCTCTATCATTTTGAATACAAGCACTTTATGAAATGGCCATCTAATCCAAGACACTTCCAGGCTTCCCAAGCTGGGAACTGATTGTGCTGGTAATGAAAAATACTAATCCAGTGGAGCCAAAAACCATAAAACTGGAAACCATTTCCTGTCAACTTGGGTTAACAGGGCCATGAATACTTGTTTAAAAGTGATTTCTAAAGCATTTTTTTTCAAGTTATTTGATACAGGAAACTATATGGGAAACTTTACAGGGCAAAACCCCAACTTTTTGGGTTTTAACTCATTTTTTTATTCTTGGATCAAACAGCTACAAGATGGTGGAAAGTCTTAAGTCCCTATTTCAATGGTGAAAGGATTTTTTAATCTGAGATGTTCCTGTCTCCAGTCTTGTTTGAACTGTAAGAAGTGCAGCATAATGCAGACTGGGTTTCTGGAACGTCCCTCTGTGTGAATGTCCTTGCAGGCTGAGACTACATTTGGATGGGTTTTCCCCCCAAAAAAACTGTGTGTGCAGATGAGCAGGTTTGGATCTGACTGGTTTGTTCAAACAGGTACTTGTACAAAACCCACCCCCACACGTGCACACTTCCAGCAGTCATTTAATGAGCACTAGGGAGGAAAACCCACCTGGAGTCAGAACAGCTCAAATGTCTCAGCTGAGGAGTTGAATAAAATGTCTTGTGGATCCTTTTATTGTTAATCCTTTGTATAACTCTGTAGTCTTGAGGCAGCTGGTGTAAAAGCAGTTGGAAAAAGCAAATCTTGGGAAAGATGGTGTTAACACACAAGCTTTTCCCACCAGAACTGCTAAAGAAACAGGATTGGCTGTTCAAGATGTTAACATTCCTGGTCTGTGTATGAAGTTTGTTATGACCTGTCCAGCACAGGTCAGTGACATTTAGCTTGGCACTTATGTTAATTATGTTGATTAATCAGTATCTAGATAAGGAGCCACAGCAGAGCACAGTTCAGATCATTGTGTTCAATCTCTGAAGATGCTGTGGGCTGTCCTGGTAGCTCTTGGTTGATTATATCCTAATAGATAAAAGCAGATATTGTTGAAACTGCATCTTCCTCATCAGGCTGGGCAGGCAGACTCATCCTTCAGGGACGTGTGATCATCCCAGACTTTGCTGTTCCTGAGCTGACTGGATTTTTAACTTGTTTGTGGTCTAGGAGATGAATGTGTTGGGATCTCATGGGGTTTGTCCACGAGCAGCGTGTGAGATTCTGATACACAAAATTGGTGAGTCCATTTGCATCTGCAATTTATCTGTTAAAGGTTATGAAGCTTAAGAGAGAATTAGTCTTTTCTTTTTTTTCCCCAAGCAGATTTTAACTCTGGGGTAGGAATGCTAAAAATATTCTGGGAAGTGTTCCTTCTGGGTAGCTTTTGAGACAGGCAGTTGGTCAAAACCTTCTTTATTTCAGTGTTTAAGAGCTTCTTAGCAGCTTGCTGATGTTAGGGAGCAGGGATGGAGCCAACAGAGCTGGGATGGAGCTGCCTGTAAATCCCAAGCCCAGGGGTGAGGTGGGTGCCCCTTCCTGAGGGTCCCCCCTTCTTGTCACTAGGTCAGGTAGTGAGGAGGCAGCTCATCCCTCCAGAGCTGCTTTCCTCACGCTCTGATGGACTGTGTAAGGTTGTAACTCTTCTTCTGAGCCATCAGACCTGCGTCCTGAGGAACCTGCTGGTGTTCCCTGTAGCCCAGGGCAGAGCAGGGTGCCACATTAACTGCCTCATCCGGCCTTTCTGCCCTGCACACCCGCGGGGGGGCAGCCAGCCCCCCAGCCGGGCACGCTGAGACGCCGGAGCCCCCGAGCAGGGACTCGGTGCTGACACGGCTCTCGGGACCTGCCTCCCTGAGGCCCCGTCTGCGCGGAGCTGCGGGCCCGGCGGGTTCCCGTGGTCCCGGTGCCCCCACAGGGGCAGGAAGGGCC